GACATTTAACTCACAGAGAGTCAAATAATAGTTACCAGAGGCTAAGGACTGAAGGACTTGGGAGAGATGCTGGTCAGTGGATACAAAATTTTGATTAGGAGGAATAGTTTCAATAAATCAATCGTCCATTATGGTGCCTACAGTTAATAACAATATATCATATATTTAAAACTGCCAAGAGTAGATTTTAGGTGTTCTTAATACAAAAAATATTGTATATGAGGCAATGTATATCAGGTGCATATGTTAAATATCTTGATATAGTCATTTCAAATGTATAAATATATCAAATCATGTTGTATATAATAAATGTAAACAATTTTGTCAATTAAAATTCATTATAAAGTGACAATTAAAATTACTTTAAAGTTCCCTCATTGTGGGCCTTGATTTCAGTATGACATCTGCCTCCAAAGACCACACAGTCTTTTTACAACCCTATGCTACTTTGTTTTTTGTTTGTCTGGTTTTTTTTTTTTTTTGAGAGAGAGAGAGTCTCACTCAGTCATCTTAGGACAGAGTGCCATGACATGATAGTTTACAGCAACCTCAAATTGTGGGGCTCAAGAGATTCTCTTGCATCAGCCTCCCAAGTAGCTGGGACTATAGGTGCCCACTACAACGCCTGGCTATGTTTTAGAGATGGGGCTCTTGCTCTTGCTTAGGCTGGTCTTAAACTCCTGACCTCAAGCAATCCATCCACCTTGGCCTCCCAGAGTGCTAGTTTACAGGCGTGAGCCACCACCATCTGGCCCATGCCACCTGTTTTTAAAAGACTCAAATATAAATGTATTAAATGATAAAAATTAATTTTATTTCTAGCCCTCAATAATTAATGTAGTTAAAACACAGAAATATGAAAGGAAGATACTGAAAACACCCTTGATCAAAGCCAGAGAGTCCAGATGTTTAATATCTGTAGCAAGTTAAGTATACCACTTCCCTTCCACCAACACTCACTAAGCAGATGATTTTCAACCAGTATGCCATAGCATACTGGTGTGCTATGAGAGGATCTTAGGTGTGTTGTGAAAATTTTTAAAGATAATTAATTAAATTATTTTCAAAAGAAGTTCAAAGCACAGTAAATGTATTCTTTTTTTAGCTTTTTTTTTTTTGATTAACAGAATTTAAGTGTGCTGAATCCAGTGTGCCGTGAGATAAAAATAGTTGACAAACATTGCACTAAATAAACAAAAACTACTTTGCTCGAAGAGAATTTAAGAGCAAGAAGGAATGAACGCAGTCGTAAAAACCATCTCTGAATGGTTTCATATCTTCAATGAAACTAATAGGTGCTTGGGGAAAGACCATTCTGGGGTGGCACCTGTGGCTCAAAAGGGTAGGGCACTGACCCCATATGCCAGAGGTGGCAGGTTCAAACCCAGCCCCGGCCAAAAAAAAAAAGACCATTCTGATGCTTGTGAGGCAAGTAGGAAGTTAAGTGCTGTAAGTATACAGGTTATTACATAAGTTCTGAGATACACAAAAAAATCAAGAAATGTAAAATAAACATGGGCAACAACAAATGAAACCTTCCCAACAACACTGATAAGCTAAGCAAGTTGAAATTTACATGAGTGTATCAAAAAAAATGCTCTCAAATGTATTTCTTGGAAGTGAAATAATGGACCATAACACAAGCTATCTCAAAACTTTCATAGTGACCCACATATATTAATGATTGCTATGAAAGATGGGAGCTATAGAAAAAGCAAGAGCATTGAAATCAGCCAAATCTGGGTTTAACTCTCTTCATATTTAATAGCTATGCAACCATGTATAAATTACTTCTCTAAGCCTCAGGTTCCTCGTCTGTAAAACAAGGCCTATATTTCACATTATTTTCAAGGCAAAAATTTTCCAATAAATGACACACATACAGATGCAGGCAAGACAAATCCCTATCCTAGGCTTCAAAATATAGGCAGAATTGCTCTGGATATCTACCAGCCATACCCCTCCATGGGCTGAAGAGTCTTTGGGACCAAAGTACATGCACTCCATGAGCCCATGCCCTGTTGTTGACTATGCTCTGGGTAATCTAGAACCAGTAATTCCCTACCCAAACAGCAGCAAACCTGGCTACCAAAGTCTGCAAAGACCTATTCTGAAGAATACTTCCTCAGCAGGTATGTATGGAACCTGGATGTGAGGACTGTGGATGCAAATACATGTGTAAAGTTACCTCAGTGTGTAGAATAGTATGGAATAGGAAAAGAACAGGACTTAGGCTTAGAGGGAGGTGTAGATGTAGTCCATGGGGACATATTCTGGCATGTGACTCCCAAGAATTCAAAAATTCTAAGCTTAAACCTGATCTTCCAGGTCCACCTAAAGATTTGTAAAAGTTGAGGAACAAAAATAAATTCTATCTTGTTCACTTAACTTACACACATAAGGCATGTGGGTCTTTGTATTTGCTACAGACCTTAAAAATGTCACTAGTGGGCCTGTCTACATCTACTCCTAATAACATGTACATAGCATTTGCCATATTCATTTTCAAATCATCTTATTTAATTATGCAATAATAACATGAGTTAGGTTTTATTAACCCCACTGCACAGTAAGAAATAGACATGTTCAAGAAATCTATCCAGTACAATTTTTCTCTATCTCTGTACCACTTTCTTCCAAACTCCCAAATACATGATCTCCTACTCTACCATATCACCATCCTTGCCTGCTCCAAAGACAATGTGCCACTGATCCCTAAATCTAGTCCTTACTCTCCATGACCTCTCTTTATAGCCTCTGATACTGTCAGCTTTCTTAGAATAGCTTTCTTCTTCAACTTCGAAGGCTACCCTATTCTAGTTTCTCTTAGACTTTTGCTCTTTGGCTCCTCTTTTTCAGAATCTTTGTAAAGAGTAGGATAGTATTCCTGGATAGTATCTGCACACACCATACATTCAATAAAAATTACGGTTTTTTAGTGGGGTTTTCTGTAGTCTACAATAATGGCACCAGTTATTGCACTAAGTGAGAGAGATACACACTGTTATCATTTATCCTATAACCCCATTTGTATAATAATAAAACTGAAGCTCAGATCAGTTAACAGATTAACTTGTGTTAGCAATCTGGCTCCCACACTTTCTAGATTTATGTTCCCAGGTAAATCATTTAACTTTTCTAAGTTTTTGCCTCCCCGTCTGTGTAATGATGCAATGTTAAATGAATTAAATCAAACTTAGGTTATAAAACAGTGGTATGGTACATAGTTAATAAATGTTAATTCTCTCCTTTATGACATGTGAATATAACTCTTCCAGAAAGATGATTCTGAATTATCTATGTCTGTATCTCTAAATTGTCCAAGTCCACATTTCTAAGTTTTGCTAGTTATGTTTACTGCCCGTCCTATCAAACTTATCCTTTTTGTCACTAAACAAAGAACAGAAAGCAAAAGACTAGGGAGGCACAAAATACTAGAAGGGCATACTTAACAAGATGGTTGATAAAGAAGTTAATTTCACAGTTCCAACCTTGAGAAAATTACAAAAACTGAGAAGGTTTCCATAGATCATGTCCAAAATTCTCTTCCCCTTTTCTTTTTCCTCATTCTTAAAACATGAAACTCTAATCCTTCTATTTCCCTATACTGCAGAGCCCAAAATGTTTAATATACTCACATTTACATACCATAGTCATCTAACACCTAATGATACTTTATGATGATACTTTATAATGATCCTTTATTACCAATTTTTATAAATTTACATCTTATCCTCCTAACTATGCTGCAGGTTCTTTAAGCCAATGATCATCTCTTGTATTTTCAGTATGCTTCATAATACCAACAAATGCTAACTGACTATTGTTATGAAGATATGGCCAAGCACTCAGATAATCATGGATAAAGATGCTTTCAGATTTTTTTCTGATACTGGAGGAAAGTTTTCCAAAAATTGAAACCTTAAGGATCCTTCCACAAATACGGAAGTGATCAATAGCAAACATTCTACTTCTTTCTCAAGGTTTTTGGTCTTGGCTTTAAATAGAAAAAAAAATACCTTTCAACACAAATTTTATTAGCCATGTGTTAATATTTTATAAGTCATTTTCAAAAACTATGCAAACTTTTCTTCAAAATATACTTATATTTTTAAAAATGATACTAGTCACTATTTCAATTTCTATCAGAAAGCAATTCTTACATTTATAATTTCTAAAACCATGTAAGATACATTCATGTGCTACTTAGTAAATATTAAATAATTCTAAATATTCTAAAGCTGATAAAAATTATTGTAGAGTTTATTTATTTTTTGAGACAGATTTTTTGAGACCTCTGTTGCCCCAGAGTTGAATGCCATGGCATCATCATAGCTCACAGCAACCTCAAACTCTTGGGCTCAAGCAAATCTCATGCCTTAGCTTCCCAAATAGCTGGAAGAACAGGTGCCTACTATGACACTTGGCTAATTTTTTTTTTTTTTTAGTAGAGACAGGGTCTTACTATTGCTCAGGCTGGTCCTGAACTTCTGAGCTCAAGCAATAAGCCTGCCTCAGCCTCCCAGAGTGCTAGGATTATAGGCATGAGATACCACGCCCGGCCTGTAGAGTTCATTTAAAGCAATTAATTTCTTCTTTGGTTGGAAGTATTTCAAATTTTGGAATACATGATTATATTTTCTTTACTGTGATAAAACCCAAGTAATTTTTTTTTTTTTT